TACCTTTCATGATATTGTCTCTTGTGTGAACACGGACACAGGCTATAAAAATTACTGACTTTGATACCAGCACGATTCAGACAAGCTGCCCCAGAAGGCTTTGTTTTTCAGATATCCATTTCATCATGTCAGATTTTTAAGTTTTGCTTATTTTCCTAGCACTGGGAAAAAAATCCTAATGTGTGACAAAACTATACTCACACCATGATCAAGTCGGTCAACCAACCAACCACCAACCAATCAATCCAGGTTTCTCACCAGTAGTGAAATTATTTTGAAAGTCTTCTTGTTTTATCAGCTTTGAATCCTGTTGGGACTGTGTTCGCTGTCTGACAGTGTTTTGGTTCTTGGTTATTAATTTTCTCTTAGGAATTCTTTCATGGATTTTTTTCAATTTCCCTGCACTAAAAACTGGAGACAAAAAACAAACCTTCTCACAACCCACCACCTCACCTCTATAATACGTCTACATAATGTTCCCAACATCATACGTAAATCTATAATATTCCCATCAATTTTCCCAATCCACATCTCCTTCAAGCACTCGACTATTCAGTCTGTTATTTCATCCTGATAGCTAGTGAGATACATGAGAGGACAGAAGTTCTGTGAGACCAGCGGTATGGATCCCTTTCCGTTTTGAGAGCCCTTGATCCGAACTATTCGGGAGGGCAGATTGCGCGGAACTGAAGGTTTTCTTCCTTCTGAGGTCTAATCCGCAGTGGGGAATATCATCATGTTGAAGGGGGTGAAGTGGGTTGCAAACGTGAATATATATTTAAGCATTTTTAATCCTTTGGAAGACCGTGTTCAAATCTTTTACTCTGCTTTTTCGCAAAGGGTATTATGTCACACACAGCGTCAATTTGGGGCTCACGATGCTGTCGCGCTTAGGGTTTTGGGGGTTACTGCTTTATGGATCTTGGGTGCCTTGGAAGGGTTTTGCCATTTTGTGTCAGTTCTGAGTTCTGCACAATAAAGAGCAGGCGTCTGTGAAATCTGTCCGCCTCAGCCCCTAGTCTTCCTCACTGTAACAGTCGTCATCTTCACCACCCTTCAACATGGGGCGTTAGAGTGTAGGAGACATGAGAGTGGCTCCAGGAAACTGGGCGCCGCCCCG